TTTATGATTTTTTTTTACTTTTAAATATGAAAATAATAAATTTTACTTTATAAATTGAATAAAGGTACATGTCTTTAATGTATCAGAAAAAAATTTTGAATTATAGAAACAATACTATAATCTATACTATTATAAAGAAGAGGTGGTGTCTGTGTGTGTGTGTGTTTGTATGAGGTAATCTCAAAAACTACTGAACCGACTGGGCTCAAATTGCACACAAATGAAGCTATAGCTCCGAGGATACATAAAGAACTATTTCCGCTTCGATATTGTCCTAGGGCTCTGCTCCGTGGGCTTTCACAAATTTGAGGCGAGAGATTTAAAAGTAAATATTGATTGGTGGTATCCATGGTAACAAAGAACAAACCTACAAAGTTTAAAAATGTAAACAAGCAGAACTAACTGTCAAATTAATTTTGATTTCATAATTCCACTCAGCTGGTTCAAACATATTAAATAATGCACGGATATTAGAACAGAGAGGGTAAGGATTATAAATTTAAAATAATGATGTCACTAGCCCGAATGTAAACATTATTTAACATTACTTAAATGGAGCTGTCAAACCATATGTTAATGTAATTTCATTAGTATATGATTCTTTCAGTTACTTAATTTGTTTATGTTTATGATCTATTTTACTGAGTCTGTTCTAATATTTGTGAAATGCTGTAATAAGATTTTACAGGGAATAATTCGTTGTAAAAGAAATCATTCATGGATATAGGAAATAATTAAGATGGCCGCAGCAAACCTATAGATTGAGCGAATTCCTATTTGCCTGATTATAATTTCACTGAAACATGTTATAAAATTACCCTATTGACAGGTTTGGAACCATTGTGATAGCTTTTCCTCTACAGTGCAAACCATTGAACACATTTTTTTTTTATTATACCTTAAAATCTATAATGAAAACTTTATACTTTTTTCAATGGTTTAGGTGCAGTGGTAGAGCATTAGGGCTATGGTAGATGTGTGCTTTACTATAGGATCCCGTATAAATTAAAAGACCAAATTTTCTTAAAACGTCTCCTCACCCATCACTGCAATAAGTATTTTATACTTATATGCCAAAAACCCCGTACGAAGGACGGGTATTCTGCTAGTATTACAATAAAATCTGGTAATAATTGGTACTTTTCAATTTTCTCGCCACTTTAAATATTATTGCGTAATTTTGGTTAATTGGTTGTAACGCTAACTTAACAATTCTTGAAAAATTAAGGAAATTGACAGGAAAGCAGGCTTACCTTTAAATAAGACCATAGAGACACATAAAACCTCACAAAAGTAAAAGTAAAAATTTATGTGGTCACTCACCACTTTTTCAACCACTGGAGATTGGAGAAATGGCAATGGCAGTTGCAATTTGAATCTATTACCTTTATTTATTTATCAGATAACCTTGAAAAATATGCATTTATATATTCTGACTTATTCTATGTTATTTATAACCGTACTACACCAAATGTAGGCTACACAATAAAAACTGTGAGATTTAAATAAATAAAAAAAATCCTCAACAAAAATTTACTTAAGTTTTACACTTAACAGTAGCGTGTATGATCTCCATATACAAACCTAACCTATTTAACTATTACATTGTATTTTCTATACACAGTTTGACCTGTATATTTTGTATGATTTTAACTACTGTATATAGCCTTACCTAACCTGGCCAAAATGAACAATGATATCACAGGGGTGAAATATACATGTAAGTGTTATAGGTAACACGTTTTATATGATTGCAATGCCTTGCTTACCTAGCCGAATGTCTGAAATAAAATAAAGTAGAGTAAAGTAGAGAAAGTAAAAAGTACCCTTTACTTTTAACTTTTACACCTTGTAGAAATAGTGTGTCGACTCAAAGATTGTAAAATGAAGATACGTTGGGGACTAAGTAAAGTCCGAGTGTATGACATCCAGCAAAAAGCCCTCGTTACATATTTACTTACACATCAGACGTCTTGACTATTCACTGCACTTGGTTGAAAAGGTCACTTGCATTTCTGCAGAATATTTTTATTAAATTCTTGTTTATTTTAGTGTGGATCATGTTTTGTTTTACCATTCAAGTTTGTTGGTTTATTAACGTTTTTCCTCTAATTGTAAAGGGATTTTCCTCAAAAGTTTGCATTTTAGTATTGCCTTTATTAAGGTTTATATATTAATTTCTTTAGTACAACTCAATTAATTCGAAATCTATTAGTTTAACCATACAGTTTGAAGTTCCGAAATGGATTGTTTTTGTATTTTGCAGAAGGTATCCGCACTTTTTTCCACCAATATTTATAAGCAGTGATTAATTGTGTCAAAGTTTATTTTGATGTCAATATAACAATGGTCGTGTTTTTATACAACTCGTTTTTACTTATTCTTTATTTTTCTAGTTATTACGTTTGTAATATATAAATTTAACATTTTTGTATGTGTTGGATAAGTAACATCACAATATCCCAATCATTTCTCAGTTGACTTTTTAAGATTATTAGACGTTTTTATTTAGGTTAGGCTATGTTGTTTAATTTCACGGACTAAATTCGTTATACATTGATTTAGAGGTTCTGATTCTGAATGAAATTTTAAAGAATCTTTAGGGTCTTTTCAAAAAGGAAATAAAATACAAGTGTTTCTGTTTGTAAAATGTTTTGTTTTGTACCCAGCGTAGATTTCAGTTCAAAAATACGTCACAAAATAAAGTTGTATGGTTACAAAACGTTTTTATTAACATTTCTTGGAGCTTTCGTACAATTTTTGTACTCAAAATGTAAACTCACTATAAATAAGAATCATACTTGAAGACTCAAATGGAAACTAAATACTATACTAAATACTGTACATTATTTATATTTTTTACCAAGATGAAATTCATGGCTATCAAATTTTGCCTCAATTTCACTAAATAGTCTAAAAACTTGCTACAATCAATTTAAGTAACTTTAAATAATAGGTTGAAGTCCACAACAAAAAAAGAAACTTTCAAATAACCGATGAAAGTTGCAAACTAAATTTAACTGGAAAACATTATTTAACGTCCAATTAAAAAGTTGAAATTGCCCCAAGTTGAGATTGACGTGTTTAAGACGGGTCTTGAGCAAATAACAAGAAACTGTTGACTGTTTGGAAGGCAACATTATAATATTAAACAGTCTCAGCTTGATCGATTTAAACTTTCTTGCCGTATCGATGTTATTCCAAATCAAAATAAATCGTTACATACAACTGTCACCAATTCTTTGAGAAAAACGTATTGTAAAAATGTTAACAAGTCGATTCAGTCTATTTACAACAAGGAAATTGGCTTTGATTTGAGAAATTAGAACAAGGTGGTTGTAAATATTTATACGAGGAAAACTGTTGTTGGAATTTAAAATGTATACGTGTTTAGAGTACATATCACACATGAAGTAAGGAATTTTTTTTCCGCGAACTCTTGGTTCCACGAATCAGCTGTAAATTTATTGAGCTAATTATTTATTCCTGATTCTTCTATCTGCCTTGTTTTCATTAACTATTAAACCAAAACCCGAAGGATCAAAATGATTTAATTGTGCTTCATTTATTGGACAAGCGTTTTGAAAATTGTTTAATGTACTTTTTTCTGGTTGAATGTAAAGATATGTTTAGCACTTTGCTTGAAATATGGTCTTGATCCTGCGAAAACTCATTTTTGGATCTTAGTGAAAAATTTTGTGATACTGTGTGTGGCGTTATTTAACTACTTTTCTTAAGAATGTCCTATAAGAAAACTCTAAACTTTTCAAAATCTTGGAGACCAATTAGGTGGATTTTAAATATCTATAATTATTTAAAGTTTCTTCTTTTGTGATTTCGCAGCCAGTTTAATAGATTTGAATATGCAAAAAAATACTCAAAAATTTAATCCATGACGATGTTTGAAAGTATATATTTTACTGAATAAATTTTGTAACGCACTTATAGTGTAAAAAATAATGCTTATCTGTAGAATCGCGCAATATGAAGTTATTTTCAGGTTCTCTGAAAATATTTCATAATGGAATTGTTTAGTGAAGAAAGTAAAGGAAGCGGAAAATTGGATGAAGAAATTTCTTTAGGATCTGGAGGTAAACTGGAGAACGTCTTAAGACTTATTGAAAGTGCCTAAAGCTCCGGCTTGTTAGTGGCCTGATGTAAACCAATTAGGACATATTGTTTGAGGAATTAACTAAACAATTACACTTTTTTCGGTTTATTTTCTTATTGTTATTTAGGACAACCTTAAACAGTTTTATCCCAAAACACATAGTGTCAACAGTTTCTAAATTCTCAACAATGTGTTTTTAGTGAATTATCTTCTTGACAGTGACCTAATATATCTGCTGAAGGTTTAGTTAGCGAATTCAGTGTCATAAGCCAGATTTTTTAAATCATTAAATTTAAATTTATTGAGAGAAGAGAGCTTACAATAAGACAACAGTTTTGCATATTATACTAATTTTCAAGCTTAATTGAAGATATTTTACATAATTGTAAGGAAGGAATACCATCTCTACTTCAATCCATAACTAATTATTTTTAGAACTTAAGATCACAACATCTTCCTGAAACCATCAGGTGGTTTCTGTTTTTATTTTCAGTTATGGAAAATGTCAAAAATTATTCTTGAATCAACAAAAACTTAACATTAATAAACTTACAACAAACATTACTTAGTTTGTACTTATTTTTGTTTTCTTACAAAAAGGTACCTAGTAATAGGTTAATAGTGAGTATCTCTGTGTGTTAGTTGTTAGTAAATTTATGATCACATTGATCTCGTACACACACACAATGTCTACTTATTTGAAAATACATTTGAAAAACTTTTCATATAATTTATCAATTCACAAAAAACATAATTTTAACATTATTGTCAAAGAAATATCTTATCCGATATACTTCCCAAAAATTTGGATTCTTTAAAATGAAGAGTAAAACTCTCTAACAATCAATGTTTGTTGAACAAATTGTACAGAGTCTGTCTTATTCCTCAGATCACCTGGAGTGGAGAGTGGCGGACTGGGGGCCTTGCCTCCCTGGAGACTCGGAGCTCTCCAAGATGGGAGCTGGCTCCATGGAGCGTAACGTCACCTGCGTACTAACGTCACACGAGGGGTTCCAGGTAAGCACTTTAGCTTTTTATTTTGATTATTTCAACCCAATTATAGCCCAAACCCTGGCATTTACAATATCTAAAGCCATCCGATTGTTAGTTCAACTAAGTCCAGAATGGATGTTGCCTAAAATCAAATCAACGATTTTCACATTTGAAAACGAGCACTACAACCACTAGGCTACTAATACAATTGATGCGATTGGCATTTTTCAATGTTTTTTGTAAGAAACAAGTCGTTGTTAGTGGATATCATTGTTGTTAGTAGTGGATCTTGTTGTTGATCTTTTGTGAGATGTTATTGGTTGATAGCCCTATGAAAAAAAAATGCATCTGGGTGGGGAGCGAGTGGCGTAGTGGTTAGAGCGCGGGACTTCAGTCCCTGGGGTCCCGGGTTCGATACCCGCCAAGTCACCAATGGATTTTATCTAAGTGATAATGCCGCAACCCTTAGGTCTAGCCTGAAGTAATGTGAAAAACAATTCCGGGCTCGTGCCTAGCGTCCTAGGACAAAAAAAATTGGTTGATAGCCCTGTGAAAAAATTGAATCGATTTTGTTTAAAATATAACCAGCGACCTTCAGATTTGAAGGCAAACAGTTTTTTACGCCTTTGGCAATTTTAACTTTTTCGTGAATAAACAGCAAAAAAAGTTGCCTTTTTGTTGTCAAATGCTGATCTTTTTTTAGATATAAGCATTCATTGCTATCCCGTTGACAAATGGCATGTTGGTTCTCACTCGATTTAGATTCAATGGTTTTCAGCAACTATTGTCTACTGTAGTCGGAATCGATAAGTGAGTTTGTGAAATAACGAAGCTTCAAAGTTCCCACGATTCTTTCTACAGTCACAAATAGATTTTGCTATGTTATTCTTGAGCATGAGTTCCAAAATGTTAAGTATCTACATAACGATGTGCTATTTTTAAGTCTTATTTACTACTATTTCTCTCTATATAAACGAATGTGTAAATTTCTGAATGTATTTGTATTCCTTAGGATAAATCTGCCATCTCCTAGGCAAGTTACATGTCATTCAAATTTCTATAAGAGAATTCGAATCATCCAATCACGAATACGAACATTACGTAATTTCACTACATATAGTATACTTATCTATTTTCCTATCATCCGACAACATTTGTATTCCTTAGGGGGTTTATTCTCTGAAAAAAATACTTTTTGAACAAGGAAGAATTTCTCAATGAGGCTATCACATACAAGTTTTAAACCCCTCAGAGAGATGTTTAATTCTGAATCATTTATTTAAATTTATCCTTCTTCAGCTTTTTCCCCATAAAACATTCTATATTCAACCATTCTATTTCAACCTGTATTGTTTTGGTTACATGTATTGCTTACTATACATATATTCATATATTATGAATGAAATATTTGTAACACTATATGAAATAAAATTTTCTTTTCGTCCTTACTAAGCCACCTCATTTCTCCATCTACAAAGATCGAAAGTAGCATTCTTTGATAATTCGGTACAAAACGTTATTCGAAACTAATAGTAGTGTTTTATTAGCAAATGTCCTACAACATAAATTGCATTGTTTGTGCATAGAAAAGATAAGAAATGTTTACAAAATCCATGCATACAATCCATACTTCCCCTATTTTCCATCTGCTCGTGAAATTGAATCGGCCCCAAACACCTTAACAAACGCCTCTTACCAAAAGACAATGAAAGTAAGTAGATAAGAAGACCACAATATAACCATACAATAGTCTACCGCTACCCTGCAACTTTAAGCTGCCACAAGCGCAATATCAACCCCAAACTTACCTCATTGTTTTCGATCTAACAGCCCCTCCATTCCGGTTTAGTGTTGTACTTCCAAAGTACTTTTATGTAGGGAAACACCTTCGGGGATCCCAACTGATTGTCTCGTTGAGTTATTGGTTTAAAAATATTTCTTTTTTCTGGAACAGTTGTTAAAAAACTTTAAGTTAAAATTGTTTTGAGATAAATGAAATAACAAAATAGGTACTTAGAAAAATATATTTCAACCAATAAAGAAAATCCAACATGCTATTTTATTTAAGTATTCTATGAATTACCATAATCCATGAATTCCATGTACACCAAAAAGAAGTACCATGAATACCAGAAGCTAGTTCTAAGTTCAGTAGAAAAATATTCACTAAAACTACGCGAATAGTCTTTATCGCGTCAAAGGAGATTTTGCTTTTCATTTCAGTTTATATTTTTAAACTCTTACACTAACAGGTGCAATATGAATTAAAGTTCGGTGTAGGCCAGAACACACAATATTAACATAAAACAATTCAAATTAAATCAATTCATTTGACGCCTAAGGGTCTTTTCCCGGTTCTTCACAAAATGCATGCCACAAACTAAACATTGAACTGTAATTTCCTAATCAAATCAATTCACATTCAGAAATTTGATTATGTCATCATCCCAGTATTTGAAAATCTCCATCGTATTCTCCAAAACATAAAATTGCCTACAAATATACAACGAATACAGTTCTCATAAAACGTTCCATGTGACAACTATGTGACACTTTTCTCAAAATCACCAGAAGCGAAATAAAACGTGAAATAAAATGGGTGAATTTACTCAAACGAGTCGTATAAACGGTGTTGCTCCAGCGACAACATTCAGCTGGCCAAGTTGCGGGGTACAATAAGAAGTTGGTTTTAAGGGAGTAACAAAAACCTACATTACACTAAACTTGGTCCAACTTGCGTCCCGAGACAGATAAAAACCCGGTGCAATATGGAGGGCAAGTTCCACCTTGTAGGACTTCTCTCGTAAAGTTCCCTCATTGTGAAGTAACCTAGTGGTGCATAAAGTTTGTAGATCTAACTGAATATTACTGTAATTAACATACTGCAACGTATAGAACAGGTTTTGTTAATCTTGTAATAAAACATGGATTCGAGAATCGATCTTTTGTTTTTAATATATTATTCACCGGTACTTTTATTTTGGAGGTATGGCTTATGGGAATATTTTATAACGTAATCAAAAAATGGGGGACATCTCTCTTGTCTAGTTGTCTAAAAAAGAAAAGTAGGTCAACATTTGATTGTGGTCTGAGAAATTATCATATAAATTGGGTTTTTATTGACAATTTTTTTCCTCTTAAGTTTTCTCTAAAAAATACTGAGCATATTGAATATTTTCAGTCTCTATGGTACGATATTAAACATATACAAACCACCATACTTTGGTGACTTAATACTCTTCAAAATGCCACCCTAACTTTAATTCTACGTTAAGTGTAGCCTTCGGAAACCCGGGGGCCCCAAACCCTTGCGTTTATACGAAACGGCAGAGGTAGGTCAGACCAAAAGCTCAACCCAAGCTCAATTGTTACAGGTTTGTTATTTTTGTAAGAATTAACTTAAGAAACAGAAACCGATTGGTTTGATTAACCATCTTTTAAAAAAATTAATAAGTTTGATTGAACTGTTCTTTTCCAATAGATCGAGGCTCTAGTAGACATTTTCCTTTGTAAAGGATAACTGATTCTAGGGGTCCCAAAATCTAGAGGTTTCAAAATCGATTTTACTAGTAGTTTATTTCCAACAGTCAAATACCAAACACGATCATAATTATTAAAAAATAAATTTGGAAATGTACTTCCCTGCATTCTCCGTAACATAAGTACCACTTCTAACAATTAACCGTGTGTAATATTTTTTTCTAAACGTGACATGCCACTAATTAGTTAGTTTTCTCTAATCTTTCTACATTTTGTAACCCTTTTCACCCAAGTTGTATTAAGGAGACTACAAGCCCGGATAAGCTTATTTGTAGACAGAGGAGATTGCCAACAATGAGTGTGTTCTTTACTATTGTTAAACTCTTCTTTGTGGTGTCTTCCCTTCACAACTGTGGATTTTAGGATAAGTCACTCTGTCTAGTCCACTTTGAAAAAATAAAATACAAAACTGTACTATTGCTATATAATTTATTTTCAAAAATTTCAATATTAGGACAATTTAAAGCTTTTAAATGCTTTAAACGTTTTTTACAAGTGTGCTTTGATTACGTCCATGTCTACTAAATGTTCCGTCTTGTCTTACTTTAGGATACATTTTCGACTGCGCACCATACTCATTGGTATAAAGGCCCTAAACAAGCAATATCTCGAAAATAATTCGTATTTATTCGTAAGAATAATCAAAGTAGGTACTGTAAATAAAGTTAAATAAACCATACAATTTAAAACACACTAACATAACCCAAAGAGAATATGCCTTCAAATAAACAACTGATTTGATACTATGTCAAATATATATGTACCAACGCACTCATACCGGGGTTAAAATGTATCTTAAATATCTTGAAGGATAAAATATATAGGTCTAATAGCGAGGGTGTTTAATGTATAATCCTGAAGTATGATCGTCCGCATTCAACAACCCGTTATGGACACGTCACACTAAATAAATGTGCTTTTGTGGCTTTACTAATCGATTGTATGGTTGAATTTCAACGTCAAACACTTACAAATTACTCGTAAATTTATCTAAATCAGACAAAAGGAGATAAACTAATAATCCCAATATCATGAGCTAAATATCTTGTCGATCAATGACTAACTTGATCAATAAATAAAGTTATTGATCAATAAATTCTTGATAAGTAACTTCAGAAGCAGTCCTCGAACGCCGAGATAGTTCTTCTTTCCGCATACTCCTGTCCACTATGTTTTCTATATGGGCTGGCTTACAAGTTCAGGTATGTGCCGAACCACCAAGTAAATGTATATTTACATATCTTAAACAATAGTGAATGGCAGGATTTGAACCTGCAGCACCAAGCTTGAAGTCTCGTCCTCTAACATCCAGACTAGTCGCGCCCTACTTTGACTGGAGTGTCAAATATATATATATATATATATATATATATATTATGGGTTGTAGTCTGAGCAGCAGGGGTCTAGCCTGGAACTGTTTTACACATTACTTCAGGCTAGTCCTAGAGAGCTGCGGCATTACCACATAGATAAAATCTATTGATGATTAGTGGGATTTGAACCCGGGACTTCAGGCTCCAATGGCACAAGCTCTATCAATAGACCAGTTCACCCCCTACTTTGACTGGAGTGCCAATAATATATGATGGGTTGTAGTCTGAGCTGCAGGTGTCTAGCCTGGAACTGTTTTACACATTACTTCAGGCTAGTCCTAGAGAAATGCGGCATTATCACATAGATAAAATCTATTGATGATTAGTGGGATTTGAACCCGGGACTTCAGGCTCCAATGGCACAAGCTCTATCAATAGACCAGCTCACCCCCTACTTTGACTGGAGTGCCAATAATATATGATGGGTTGTAGTCTGAGCAGTAATGGTCTAGCTTGGAACTGTTTTACACATTACTTCAGGCAGTCCTAGAGAAATGCGGCACTATCACATACATAAAATATATTAGGTGATTGGCGGGATTTGAACCCGGGACCTCAGGCTTCAAAGGCACGAGCTCTATCACTAGACCAGCTCACCCCCCTACTTTGAGTGGAGTGCCAATAGCATGTGATGGGTTGTATTATGAGCACTAGGAGTTGGGGTGTTAACTGTGGGGGGTATTTGGCAGGGTGAGTAGGCGCGTATCGCCATTCCACACCATTTCTTTCACAAAGAACTTTATTACCCTCGGTTTGGTTATATTCTCTGCAATCATTTCTTCGCACGACTTCGTTATTTCGCTAACGAATTACTTTGTTTTGTTTATTTTTTTTATTTTTTTTGCAGTACGGTAATAGAATATTTGAGAAATTGTGTTTAGTTTCTTGTTACTGAAACATGGAAGATAAGTACAACTTTTAAAATACTTGTGTGTTTAACATTAAATGTATATATATATATTTGTGTAAATATATATTTAAGCATGCGATTTCCCCAAATATATTCGTGACCCCAATAACATTTTTTTGTATTGTTGTTTATTTTTGTAAACGTAAACCTCTTAAAACTACAATGGACATTAATGGACTTAATTACCGTACTGTAAATAATACGGATACTTTGTTTTTTTGTAATGTGGTTGGTGATATGCTCTAAATAATCGGTTTTCAATTTAAATAAACATATTTATTTCAATAAATATACCGATTAGCTGTGTGATTTAAATTGCGAATGTTAATTTTCCTTAGTGGTTGTACCAAATGTGTCTTTAACATAATTATATTTTTACTTCATTTTTTGATATTAATTTACTAATCTTTATTTGTACCGTTAAGCCTAATTCGTACCTCAACCTGGAGACAAAAGACTCAAGCAATTATTAACTTAAAAATTTTGATCGATATTGGTCATAGACCTACGTTTTTTTTATTCATGTTGAAGCCTTCCGGAATTGGTAATCAATTATAACAGGTTACGTACCTTGACGTCCACAGTTCCGTTTGTGATAATGACTACGTAGTAGTCGAAACTATAGTCAACGGATACCGACTAAGGAATTGTGGACGTCAAGGTACGTAACCTGTTATAACCTACGTTTTTCTCGTTTTTTGGGCTCGTAAAATTTTAAGGGATAATTAAATTGAATGAGTTCGTAAATAAGTTACTTCAGACTTTATCACCAAACTTTTGCGTTTTTAGTTTTTTTTTTACATCTTTTACAACTTATCAAACCAAAACACTAATAGTATTACATCACTACTGAATTTAATTTTCAATTTGAATAAAATGTTTTATTAATCAAACTAATTATGATAAACATTTTAAGTACTAAGTGTCACCGAGCAACCATGCAGGACAAGTTTATTAAAAGTTGTAATCTTTCTGAGAAACGTCGAAGAAAAGCTTAATGGCCTGGTGAGAGCGATTCTAACAGTTTCCTTCGGGCTGCGACGTCGCTGATTAAAGAAGTTATTAAATTCCCTCTGAGCCAATGAAGCATGAAACGCCAAAAGCGTAATTGATTTGGCTTTCGGCTAAAAGGTTCAATTTTATTTTCTCCAGGAAAGTTCAGGCATATGCTTTTCATATTGAAACCACTGGAAACAAATTTCCTGTTATGTTCTTGCGTAAAATGAAATTATGAAATGTATGCCTCATTTGACTATTAAACTGATTTGGCTTTCGGTGAAAAAGTTGAATTTTATTTTCCTCAGGAAAGTTCAGGCATATGATTTTCATATTGAAACCACTGGAAACAAATTTCCACTCTGTTATGTTCTTGCGCAAAATGAAATTATGAAATGTATGCTTCATTTCATTAAACTAATTTGGCTTTTGGTGAAAAGGTTGGATTTTATTTTTCTCTCTAAGGTACAGGAAAATAATCGTGGTTTTTGTGAGCAAAAAATGTTTGTGTTTTTCTTAACCGCAATAACACCTTAACACTTTAGTTTTGGTGGGATTTTCAATACTGTCAGGTGTCTCATTGTAGATTAAGTCGAATATAAATCAATTCTACGCGTTTGTTATTCTAGAAAATCAAAAGACATCCTAGAATATTCAAGTCGTTGCTATGTAAAATCATACATTATATGTGTCTTAGAAATTTAATACTAAAGTTACTAGGCTAATTTGAAAGAAATATTTCAGATATTTGAAAGCTATTACATTCTTTATCCATTCAACTTTATTTTTCATTATCATAATTCAAAATATAGGTATCGTCATATGTATGATGATGAAACATCCCTGGATATTACAGCTAGCTATACTTCCAATCTCAAACTTGAACTAAGACCATCCTTAAGTACTTTAAGCTAATGATATGGAACCTAGTTTCTACCCCGTGGATATATGAACGGTGTGTAACTATGTTTTACCTTTGACTATTGTTTTACTAAATAAATTTGAAGAACCATAGTCCCATCATCTACGTTCTGACAAACCAAAAGCGAAGATGTAACAAGTATTTTAAAGTCATACGTTATAGCATGGTGGCGTGGTTTTGCGTCGATTTGGACAATTTGGGCTCCTGGGAGTTCAAAGAAGGACTGGCATCATAATATTATCATGTAACTCATGTAATTTTTTTATAATGTAATTTTAAATCATGTAAATTTAGGGCTGAAATGCAACGAGTTACTAGAGTACACATTAGCAACCGATTGCCCCCTTTACGTGTTACAAAGGTAACTCGAGGAGGTGAGTCCTTAACACTGAGGAACAAAGAAAAAATTTTAAAAAGTATTTGTTTGTCTAAAGTTTTGTTATTTGATTCATTGGGCTCTATGTAATTGACACAGACCTCGGAACTGAAGATACCATTTCTCATGACACGTAGTTTTTGACTGATACGCTTGATATATATCATAGTATTTGCTTTCTGTACCAATCCCAGTAAACCCCTTGTTTGTTGCAGAACTCTCTCCAGATAGACGAAGAGAACTGTCTGTTGGTGTCCACCAAGCCGGAGACTCAGCGGGATTGTACTCTGCCCACTCAGCAGGACTGTGTGCTGACGGAGTGGTCATCCTGGACCTCCTGTTGTGACGGTACTCAGCACCGGACCAGGAGTGTGCTGGTAGCGCCGCACTACGGTGGACAGTCCTGCCCTCAGGTAAAATAAATACCGTGATTAGTAGAGTAACCTAACCTAACCTAACCTAACCTAACCTAACCTAACCTAACACAACCTAACCTAACCTAGCCTAATCTAACGTCACCTAACCTAATCTAAAATTACCTAACCTAACCTAAACTAACCTAATCTAACCTAACCTAACCTAAACTAACCTAACCTAACCTAGCCTAATCTAACATTACCTAACCTAACCTAGCATAACCTAATCTAACATAACCTAACCTAAACCTAACCTAACTTAACCTAAACTAAACCAACCTAACCTAATCTTACCTAACCTAACCTAATCTAAACTAGCCTTACCTAATCCAAACTAACCTAACCTAAGCTATCCTTACCAAATCTAACTTAACCTAACCTTATATCTATTGTTTTTTATGCTAAAGCTTCAGCCAGTTTTAGAAATAAAAGTCAACATATTTGAACTTTTCCACCAGTAAAGTGAGGTAATATAAATTATCAATATCTGTCAAACATGCAGTTTTCACCATGGCAAACTGAAAGGACTAATGGTAAACCTTTATGCCATATCAAATATTATACTAAAAAAAACTGAAAGAGATAATCGCATTTTGATACCAACTCACTCAGTCTATTCAACCATGTATTATTAAAATAAAAAACATATACTGCTGGTCCATACAGATGAGACATCTACTTTGGTATCAATGCTTAATAATGAACACTTTTCATACTTTTATTGAATTTATCTATAGAGAAGTAGTTATTACCACGGTAAGGCTGAGCCTGGGACCGATTTTCTTTTTTTAATTTTGATGTCCCCAGAGGCGAAAAAACTCTTCGTTCAAGTTTTTATATCATATAGATGTATTGAAAAATATGGCTTGCCTGTGTAGGGTGGGATAAAATTGAATGAATTTGCGAACCAGCAAGATCCGGTTATAGAACCGGGGTATTATTGTATCGGGTATTGCAATTTTCGAAAATTGATTTAACAATTTTATCCTTAAAATATCAAAATGTCCAATTTTCAATACGACCATTGTGTAGAACTTAAAAAACAAACAATTTTGTATAATATGACATTGTTGTACAATGACAAGTAACGGGGAAAAATCCAAAAACTGTACATTTAAGACTCCTATTTTATTCTTATGGAGAAAAAAAACTGTTGTACAGCGGTTCGCTAGCTTATGGATGTATGTTGATCAAATTTGGTTAATCTATTTATTTAATCTACTATTAACATTTAGTAAAAAACACTTTTTACCCTCTCCGTAGCAGCAAACCTAGGAACTCGTTAAATCTATTGCTATTTAAGTAAGGAATAAGTAGGTCTTGTTTATGGAATTATTTTGGTAAAAATTCAATAAGACAAATTTAAATTAACTTAGTCTGGAATGGGGGAGTGTGGAATTGTAATAAAGCCATGAACCAATGAGTTGGATGACTCTCCTACAGTAGTTGGTACCAATAAATAAAGTTTTAAGCGTCTCGATTTTCAGAGTTGACGTGCCAGTGTAATTTCCACGTATTTCATGTATTTGTGTAATGCCAGTATATTTCCTTCAGTTGTAACTCTAGCTCAGTGTTTTGACTAGTCTCAGTCACAATCACTTCATCACGACAACAAAAAGATTTTTAACGTATTTAGCTGACTCGATTGCTAAATTATTAAAACGCGACAGACTACGACCGCAAGCAGCGGGTTCGTCTCTTGGTGCAGCCAATAAAATATAATTTAAAAGTACATTTCATTCTGAAATTGTATCGAATCACTTCTGACTTGCCTTTATATGTTCTACGCACAAACCTTATTCTCAATAGTCCATATCGACTGGCAAACGTAATGATAAATGATATCACTAACCTCTTCAGAGGGGCTAAAATTTGAACTTTAAGGATGTTTCCTACTCAAAAACTAATATCACTATAGTGACCTAGTTTTAGTTTAAATGTACCAACTTTATAAAAACACTTGACAAACAACTGTATGACAACGAACAAGTGAACTCATTAAAACTCAACCTACATTCACCATGTTAACGACATGGTGCATTCATAGGAGTAGAGCACCTGCATTTTATAACACTTCCGTTATGAGAATGTTGGCTTCAGAAAGCATACTTCCCTAGAAAAATATATAAGTATGCTTTAAGTATGGACTGTAAGTTTTCAATGTATGATTTTTTTATTATAAGTGGAGTACGGAATTTGTTATTTAAAGCTACTGAAGCAACTGATTATTTATAGACTAAATATAATATCTACAAAATTACTTGGAATACATATTTTTCACAAAATGTAAAAAAAGGACAGAGGGATATTTACATGGACTTTTATTTAGTCAAATCGTCAATTTTTCCTGCACAATTCGTTACATATTATTTCGTATTCAATATTTAAACAGAATATATTTTTTAACACGGATACCTTTGATAAATTAATTGTAAAAAAGAAAGGAGCTAAAATACAAAAATTACCTATGCTGTCGAAAAAAGTCTCGTTCATATAGATTCGGGTTCAAAATTTTTAAGTTTTATATTTTAGACACTTATAATGAACAGACCGAATGTTTAATATCTATAAAACGAAAATAAGGAATGCCTTTTATAGCACTAACTTATTCATGATACATGTCACATGGTATATCACGTTTTTAAAGCTACAATTTTTTCCTTGGTAAATCAATAGGTACATTTTCTAGCAGACTACGATGTTAGATATTCTGTGAGAGATTCTGATTTCTATTTGGATTAAATCGAGCGTAACGAGTCGTCCTTATAAGGTCTTCTTTTCTCAGAACCATCAGCAAAAGTCACTTCTTCGTATAGCCTACTGTTCAGGGAATAAAAATATTATTATAGAAATAAGTATTCAGCATCAATAGTTTGGTTCATTACAAATGTTGGTTTTGAAATATGACCTTTTTGAGTGGTATGGTTTATCTAAAAAAATTGAGGTTTTATATTTATAGGGGTAGAAATATGTCTTCCATAAATTGTCAAGGTGTAGTAATTGTGCATCAGCAGGTTTTTTCTTAGTGTTTGGATGTTTAAAAGAGGTTTTACTTTCTGTGTTTGTGTTTTCCCTTGTATGTTGTAAAACATACTAAAACCTAATTTCATTGCCAAAATAATAAGACTAAGACTTCGGTTATACAACTTTTAAAAGAGGTGCGATAAACTATACACAAATTTAAATACCCGTGCCGTAGCAAACCTACAAACTAAATTAATTTTAATTTGTCCGATTGGATTCAACCAAAACATTTCCATAAACAAGGCATATTTATTCCCCAATTAAATTACTATAGGACTTTAGGTTTGCAACTACAGTACGGGGAAGGGAACACGCATTTTTTACGCAATATTAATTTCATAGGATGAATAAAGAAATTTGCCAAATTTGATCAATGTCCATAAACAAAAAAGCATTTTTTTTTCTTCATAAGAAATACATGAGGATTATTTGGTATATGCATTTTTGGTTGATTGTTAGCATTATGACCACTCCACCCAGCCACTGTTACTTGCAAAGATTTTACAACCGATTAACCAATTACAGTGTCAACAGTTTTATTTTTTTACAATCCCGTTTGTTGTTTTTCAGCTGAGTGAATGGAGATCCTGCGAGGCGGAAGACAACTCCATCGACGGCAGCGGGGTGGAGCCCGGGTGCGCTCCTCACACGGAGGGTGTGCGACTCAGGGTGGAGCGATGGGGAGAGTGTAGGCCTTCGCCCCACGAGGTGTGGGATGGCGAGAACAGCGACAGAGCTGACAACTACTACAAGCACTGGCCCCAGGTCGGCACCCAGAGGAGAGAGTTCACCTGCCTGAATGTCAACGGGACCACAGTTCCCCTCAGGTTAGACTTATCTTCAGTTGGAATAAAGATAAATTTAAGATACTAGAGTAATTTAGTTTTTTTCGGAATATCTCTCATGTTGGTGGTTGCGAATTTTACAACTTTTGTCTATTCTTGCTCAACATGAAACTGACAACTGTTTTCTATTCTCGTTAGCCACGAACTGTACAACCATTACCTACCCTTGAAATGAAAGGAAATGAAAAAAATTGATTTTTTTAGGCAAAGTTAGGGTCACATGGCCCTTTCTTACACTTATTCTGACATTCAAAAACATAACAAAATAATATTACATTGGGATAACTTAATCTAATTAAACATAAAAATATTTATCAATTCAAGTACAGGATTTATCAATCTCAGAAAAAATAAGAAAAAACATACAAATTTAACAAATAAAAAAAACTCATTTACACACTCTCGCATACACGCATCAGCAAACGCGCAAAGAAACAGTAGTTCTAAGACACGCCAGCCGAGACCATCTTCTCAAAGTAGAGCTTTTTCAGTGCCGCCACAAACTGGGAACGTTTTTCAAGCGTGGGATTTATTGTGCAGGGGTAGGCCGTTCCACAGACGACAAGCGGTAACAACAAAAGCCCTGTCATAAGCCGTGGTCACATGATGAGGTATACGCAATGAATCGGATTTGAAATATTTTGGAGAGCCTGTTTTAAAAATTGAAAAAAACTAATAAACCTTTGACCATAAAAAATTCTCAAACAATAATTCTGCAACACCACTGGAGCATACCCGCCTGAGTCACAGTCAAGTCATTGATCAATGAGTTGCAGTAACTGTAAAGTTGTAGTTGTGTTGACTATCAGTGTGCATTATTATTGTGGTGAATAGTGGTAATAGGGTATAGTGTGGTGAAAAATAGCGTTCGTACCACGGACCGAAATGGTTTTGCGGCTCTCGATCGATTTAAGTTCTCGACTTCGTCTCGAACTTAAAAACTATCTCGAGCCGGCAAAACCTCATTTTCGGCCCTAGGTACGAAATATACTATTTCGTCACTCGTTTTCGTTTTTTGTTTTTTCGGGATACCCTTGTTGTATCCCGAGGAAGTAGTAGACAACATTTCCAAAATGAGGTTGAAGAGTTGAGCAGGCATTGGACAACATCTTGACTCCATTCAAACATCAGTGCTTGATTTAGATTTAGGTTTCATCAGTGTAGGAGCAAACAAGATTAAACAAATGTTACATTAGGTTGGATTGATTTAGTTTCAGCTATTTAAGGTTCCCTTTTGTCGTTTATAAAATTTCAAGTAATCAGATTGGATTTGTTTATGTTTACGACGGCGGAATGTTTTTGTGGGTTTTGAAAGAAAGCTGGCCAAACTCGGACTTGTTGGTCTGTATCGTAAACTTGTTTATTACTTTATTACATTCATCTTAGATAGCATCAGTAAGTGATAACCCAAAGACGAATGACAACTTCTCAGAATCGAGCCCCACGGGGTCAAATTAACTATTTACTATTTTCAAAGTGAATTTTAAAAGTATGAAAGCAGATACCTAAGTAGTCCACATTAAAAATAATAAAATAGGTCTACTATTTTTTTGTGTTTGTAAAGTGCTCTACAAATTGATATTTGTAACCGGTTTTACCCAACATTCATTTGATCTAAACAATCAGGTAGAACAATAAAAGTATAAGTTGAGTTAAAGAGCCGTTTTCGACTAGGAAATGAATATCATCTGTTCAGTGGCCATTCTCCCTTGAAAATCTGTTTATTGTATTCTGGGATAAAAACCTGCCTTTAGGCGAGAGCAGAAATTAAACCTTAATAAACTCCAATTTAGTTGCTTCAATTACTTTGTTAATTGTCCCTTTATTGTTGGCCTTTCTTTATGCCCTTGTAGCTCTACTTTTAGTACAGTTTTTATGAATAAGATTAGAGTGGATATTTTTATTTCGAGTAATTATAACTAATAGCTAAATACAATTTTTATTAATTTAAATAATTAACAATGTTACATGCGAGTATTTAAGTTTTTAACTGATAGATTAGGGAAAAACTATCCATGTTAAACAAATTTTGTACATTTCATGCATATTTGCAAAAATCTTGATTTTTCCAATGGTATTCTAAAATAAGTCATTTGAACATCTCAAAGAGTGTGATACTATTAAAGTTCTGTTTTCTCGTTTTGTGCGTTATACTTTAATATTTAAAAGATACATAAAAGGTGTATAGTTTACAATACACTTCAAGCTTGGTAAGATTATAAAACATTGTGTATACGAAACAAACGTAAACATAAGCTTAATAATCATGTACTATCATACTCTCGAGTCGGGAAGCGAACTGGTCTAGTGGTAGAGCACGGGGCTTCGTAGCTTGAAATCCCGAGTTCAAATCCCGCCTATCAGCAATAAATTCAATCCATGTGATAATGCCGCAAACCTCTAGGACTACTGAAGTAATGTGTGATTCCACAGACTTCTGTAGAGAATAGTTAGAACCTTACGTCCTAGGATGTGGAGTTCGGACATAAAAAAACCCATACCACTGGTTTATAAACTACTGAGAGCCATTACATTTAACTGATAATTTTTACACAACCTTTTCCATGTATTGTTAAGTATAAACATCTAAGATTGTTTTATACACCGTTGTTCTCTCTATTCATGTAAAAGTAATGAGCAATTCCAACCAATCGTACAGTATCACAGCTATCAATATAAAATATAAAAAAGTATTTTTAAGTTGAAGTTACAATAGTTGTTGAGGCGTTTGTATGATGAAATTACCATCATCAAGCCAATTACCAAACTTTCATTAGGTCTAACGATGCCAGCGTCTTTCACAAATTGCATCAGTTTTCTAAACACCTAATTGAGTTACCTAACTAAAGAGTTTTGCTGGTTGTTTCTGTTTATTTTTGGAATCTTTGTTGAAAAAATCATCTTTCTCCAAAACGTTTAGTGAAATATAAAAATTTACATAAATATTTGTTGTTTTTAAATTACCTTTTTCTCTAATTAAGTAAATTATATCGGCTTTAACTGTGAAGAAAGTAAATTATAATTACAATTTGTACTTTATGTTTGTGTGTTATAGCAACCAAATCTGAATTATTAGCCCTTATCAATGCTATGTTCAATATCGGTTCATAAAAAAGTTAACAACGATTTTAACAGCCAAATTGAATAGTAACTTAAATGAAAACATGCCATAAGATATTTTTCCATCAAGCCAATACCAAAACGTGACATAAATGCTTTCCCATAAATGCTTTTTCGTCGACTTTTCCTGTGTGAATAGGTACTTAAAAAGTTGTTTCGCCATTTTCCTATCTGGCAAATCATTTTCTTATAGCGTAGAAGGCAACATAAGTATTGATTTAATACGCCATCAACATAAATTTCCCCAATTACATAACACTTGTAAACTCCATCATTTTTCTTAACATTTATTATTAAATAATCTACAGCACTCCACTAAGCTACGATTTTAGTTTTAGAAATTCTGCTTAAAATTGTTAATTAGATATTTTTAAGTACAAAACTGTTAGGATATGTATAATTTCAATTCGTTTACTATAACGTTTGAGTTTGCTCATAAGGAAATAAAAAAATGTATTTAGTAAAAATGTTTTTAGTACTGAAAATACTCTACACATTACTATTTCTAGTGTTATTGTGAACTAATAGGAGGAAATGGAAACATTACCTATTCCGTAACAAGGATAATCTAATTCTGGAAGTAATACAAGCCAAACATCACTAATCAAGGTCAACATGGCGGTGGTCCATTGACTACATTACTAATGCCATTACCATTACCATTACTATCTCGCAGTAATGTGCAAGCCGTTGTCTCACCATTCATCAACTAACACTAACTAATGGTCTGATACCTGACTGGCTTAACACATAGTGTTGTACTGTATAACCCTTCTGTACACAATGTACTTCTAATCCGTATGATGAACGTTTGCATTTCGTATTACCGAAGAAACAAAGGTGAAGTTATGTATTTTTAAACTACCATGATTTACTAGAGTATAGATTAAGTATCATAATATGAATTGCAATATACAAAGTAACAAAGATTAAGAATCATATACGGAGTACTGAAAAAAAAACTATAGAAAAGTGCGTGATAAAGTGTCTCAGCAGAAGTAATACGGATGACTTAACATGACGTAAGTGACATACTAAAGGTACTGTAGCATAAAGTAAGTTTCGAAAAAGTTTTAGTAAAATAGGAAATACATTTTTAGTAAGATATTTCAAGTTAACCGACATATTGAAAAATACCGGCTACATTTTTAAATAAAATAAGTTTTCCAATTCTTTTTTTATTTAATGATTTCTGCGATACCAATGGTGGCTCAATAAGGGTTTTTTATATGTATATAAAATATGTTAATTGGTTTTAGACTTCGAATCTCTAGCGGCTAAAAGTATTTCCTAGACTGATATTCACAATATTCAGGTATGTGATTTATTTTCCTTAAAACTTGAATTGATTCTAGTAATGACCAATGTAACTTAAATCCATAGCTTATTTAACATCTTCTGAATATATTTAACATCTCGTCAAAATGTTTGTCTACTAAAAGTGTACTTAAATCTATCGACTAATGTCTTCCAGACTTCCCCAGTCCATTGAGAAATAAGTGCACATTGAATAAAAATATATGTAAACCCTATAGTTCTAAAAACGCTCTACTCGTTTCACACAGCAGTGTCCGTATCGGTCAAGTTCTTTCTGATAGAAAGGCAACAAAGCTCAACAGCTACTAGCGCAAAGATCCAGCCTTCCTCACACAAAAGGCACGCCTTCAATGCCATCAATAAGCCTCCATCGATATTTCAAACGACCTTTCATCGCTTACAAAAGATGGCGAGGCAATAGTTTTTGTGCACCTCACTCTTTTTATCTGAAAATAAGTAATCATTTTCGCGAATGACGTGCTGCAATCGACGTTTCGTTTTATCATTTTATTTTAACGGTTTTCAAAACTAAATTCTGACTGTAA